GTACAGTGAGCGTGCCTTCTGCTGGTCTTCAGCTTCCTCCAGGAAGCCTGGAAGGTGGAAGGGATCCCTTTGAACCGCAGGTTGGGTGCGAGGCTACAGTTGGAGCTGAGAATCGCTGCACTGCACTTCCAAGGCTGCCGGCCTACAGAGCCAAAGGACGCTTAAAAAGAAAAAGCAAGGTAAGGCCAGGCGGCGGTGGCCTCCACACCTGTAAGTTCCCCAGGGCACTTTGGTGAGGCTGAGACGGGCAGATCACGGAGATGTCAGCGCAGATCTAAAACCATCCTGGCGTAAACGATGGTGAAACGCCCGCTCTACTAAAAAAATACAAAACATTTACGCCGGGCGGCGGTGGTGGTGCCTTAGTTCCCCAGCCTACAACAGGAGGCTGAGGCAGGAGGAGAAATTGGGCATGAAACCTGGAGCGGAGCTTGCATGAGTGGCAGAATCGCAGCCCACTGCGCCTCCAGCCTGGTTGGCGAAAAGACAGAAGCGGAAGACCCCGTTCTCAAAAAAAAAAAAAGACATCCTCAGATAAGATCTTCACAATGATATTGAAGGCGGATTTGCAACCCATGAACCACGTCCTCACTGCTTAGTTCCAAAAGGCTCAGGAATGAAAGCCAAGGCGGGAGGGCCGGGCAGTGTTTCTTGGAGGGCTGGGATGGAACGCTGCGCCAACACCTGCTGTGGTGGTGCCCGACCTTTGCAGAATATGGAGCACGCCGCCACTCCTCTCCTCCATTTGCTGGGAGCGACCTACTTCATTCCAATACACCACCAAAGAGAAGACGACAAGGACCGCCGTGTCCTGGAGGGGCAAATTAAAAACTTCATGCCCTCCACTGAGGGGCTTGGGCCAAGCTTTCTGGGCACTTCTTCAGTGGGATTAACTTCCTAAGATGTAAAACCCCACGCCGACAGATACAACCGGTTGGGGGGAAGGGGCACGTTGGGAAGCCAGGCCTTGCCCCAGTGCCCAGGAGCACAGGCTCGGAAAAGGGCAACGCCGCGCAAACACAGGGAGGCTTCAGTGCCTTTTTGCTACTCCCAAGGACCCCTCTTGGCAGGTGACCAGAGCAGGCAGCCAGGAAGGGCGGCGCCTGTTGGAAGGCTGAGCCGTTGGGCGTATCTCAAGCCGTTCCTGGATTTAAGGAAGCAGGCTGCGCGGCCTGGGCCGGGGGTGGCTGTGCTAACCTTGTAAATCCCAGCGACTTTGGGGGGGCGAGGGCGCTGTGGAATCAATGAGGTTAGGGAAGTTTTCAAGACCGAGCCTGGCCCAACAATGTGAAACCCCATCTGCACTAAAAAAGAAATACAAAACAAAATCCGCGGGTGATGCCAGGGTTGCCTGCTTTCAAGTCCCAGCGCTTTTACTTGCGGCAGGGCTGTGGAGCCAGGGAGATTTGCTTGGAAATTTGGGAAGGCTGGAGGGTTGCCCAAATGTGAGCCCGAGGGACTGTGCCATTGCACTCCAGCCTGGGCACCAGAGGGCACAAGACTCCCATCTCGAGAAAAGTAAATAAGAAAATAAAGCAACAGGTCGAAAAACCAGCCTCATTCTTGTTTCCATTTCCCACCAGTAGGGACGTTGGGCTGGAAATTCCCCGAGCAAATCCCTCTCGTGCGACCTACTTGTCCCGCCTGCCCCTGCCTGCCAGCCCAGGGGCCCTTCATCCAGAACAAAGCAGCCTGCGGTACAGCTTCGCAATGCTTTAAAGGTTTTCACGAGGGGCGTTCACTGTACTGCGTCAGCAGACATCGCCGCGAGGCCCAGACAGTGAAAAACTGCAGATAACAATGATGTAAGTTTTGTGACGGCAGCCGTCTTCAGGAAACGGGCAGCGCAGACTTTATGTTCAAAAAGATTCCAAAAAAGCCAGGAGAAGGCCTTTCCTTTCCCAGATCCTCCAGGGTGGTGCCAGGGGGCGGGCGCCTGGGGCCCTGAGAGGTGGGAGAGTCAGAACTGCGACCCTCCGGCGCACAGCCCCCCACCTGGCTTTTCCTTGTCCCGCGCCCCGTTCGAGGGTTCCCCAGGACCGGGGACTTGCCTCCAAAAGTCGCCTCGCCCTGCGCTCTGGTCGAAGGCAAGGAGGGTTTTTGGAAGCAGCCGCTGGTTGGAGCGTCTCTCGTCTTCCTGACAGCAGCAGGCGACTGGGCTCCCCTACCCCCGGCCAGGGCAGCCGGGAACCGGCCACGCCAGACCTGCGACCCCCCACAAAACCGCCTCGGGGACGGAGGCTTCTGTCGCGCGGCCGTGCGACCACGGTGTCCACGCTCGGGGTGGTTGTGCCACGTGTCCCGCTCCCATGGAAAGACGACGCGGACGGGTCCCGTCTTGCAGGCGCGTGAGGGCAGCGGTGTTCCCGGGAGAGCAGACCCGGCCGCGGAGAAGCTTGCCCGGGAGAAGGAGGGGGCGCGCGCTGGAGACGGGGGGACGGGGAGAGCGGAGAGGGAGGGGACAGCGAGAAGGGGAGGGGATAGGGGTAGGAAGGGGGGGAGGGGAGCGGGGAGGGGAAGCGGCGCGGGGGGTGGGAGGGGAAGGGGCGAGGGGAGAAAGAGCGCGGGAAGCGAGGGAGCGAGCGGCGGCGGGCCGGGCTCTGCGCGGACGTGCGCGGCTGGGGCGGCTGGGGCGGTCTCCGCCGCTCCGTCCGGCCCCTCGCGCCGCGCCCGCGGCTCGCCTCAGCTCCCGGCCCGCTGTGCCGCTGTGCGCCGCCGCGAGCCAAGTTGCGCGGACCCCGTCCCGGCCCGCGCCGCGCCATGGACGCGCCCGCCCGTCCGCTGCTGGCCCCGCTCCTGCTCCTCTGCGCGCAGCTGCTCCGCGGCACCAGGTGAGCGGGCGGGGTCCGCGGCGCGCGGTCGGGGGCGGTGGGGGGCCGGCGTCGGCCCGAGATAGCGGCTGGGAGAGCGGCCGGCGCGAGCCCCGGGCCCCGGACCCCAAGTCTGGGGGCCCCGCGTCCTCCCTCCCCGGGGTCTCGCCCCGACGCTGCCCTTGGGCTCGGGACGCGGCGACCCCGCGCTGGCCGCCCCCGCCCGGTGCTGTCCGCCGTCCTGGTGCTGAACCCGGGCGGGACAAGAGTGTCGTAGCCTCCCGGTTTCCCCGGCTCCGTGGCGCGCGTGGAGGGTCCCCGGGTCCGCGGCACTCGCAGGTCCCTGCCCGGCCGGTGCCTTGAGGAAAGGAAAGACCCGAGAACTCGGTGCGGGGAGGCTGCTCCCTTTGCCGGGGGAGCGGTTCCCCGTTCCCCGAATGAGCTTCCCCAGCCGGCGGGTCTGGGACGGACGGAGGAGGCTGTGTCGCTGTGGAGGGTGGGCCCGGCCTCCAGGGTCTCCTTTCAGAGCCCGTTTCAAATGGCGTGGACAGAACTCCTGAGTGTGTGCAGGTGGAGGGCGGCCAGGTACCCCTGGCCACAGAAAAGAGACGGTGGATTTAACTATTTTGGGAGGGGCTCCCCAGAGAAGGAAGAGGCTTAGAAGGAGGCCCCCCAGGGCTGGAGCCCCCTCTGGCCTACAGTCCCTCCACCCCCTCCTCTTTGGGGATCTGAAATGGGTTCCACAGCCACCCAGGCAACTTGGCCCCACCACTGGGCCTGGCTGCCTTCCCTAGGAGTCACGAGAGGACATTCAGGGGCGTCTTTGAAAATCACCTCAGTGCAAAGACTGCAGAAGAAACAGCAAGAAGCTGTCCCCCAGCATTCGGGATCTCAGAGACCATGAAGATGCAGACATAGAGGTGGCTGACCGCAGTAGAGGTGGCAGCACCCAACACGGGCGGCGTGTCAGAGTTTTCCTGTTGGAGGTGTGGGGGACAGAGCCCAGAAGGCTTGGGTCCAGCAGCAGCCGTGTGCCCATCAGGAGACCACAGGGTCAGCGCTGCCTCTGGATCTAAGCAGCCCCTGTCCTGGGAAGAGCTTTGTTTTCCCATCAATCCCAGTGGGCCTTTCTCCCCTTGTCCTTCCCCTCCTTCAAGGTGAGAGGAAGGACGAAGCCTCGGGCACAGTCATAGATGCAGTGCTGGAGACATGCGGCCAGCTGCCAGCCCAGGCCCACAGCCACTTAGCCAAGAGGCTGAAATCTAGACGGCTCTGAAACCCCAAAGTTTTAGCCCAAGTTTGACACCAGAACTCAGTTGGCGGCAAGTCCCGTCCTGCACGGACACGAGACTCTTCTCATCTTTGTTAATCCTACCTCTGGACCTATTTATGTACACTTCTTGCCGGGAAATTCTCCAGGCTGCCCCCAGCCCCAGCCTCTGTGTCCACCATTTCCCTTTTCTAAAATCTGAAGATCCTTAATCCTAGCCTGCATCTGGCTCCTGGGCTGTTGGGGAAGGGGTTCTGTGGCTGTTTCCCCGGGCAGGAGAGCTGGAAGGCCACGGCCCAGCCAGGAGTGGGGCCCTCTGGGCCTGCGGTCACTCCCATCCCCGGAAGAAGGGTGCTGTCGGGGAGCACACCTTGCCTGGTGAGAGGTGCACTGCCTCGCTGTGTTCCCCTCTAGCTCTCTGGTTAAAAACAGTGACCACCTGGCTGCACGCTACAGCCTCTCCTTTGAGGTCATTCTGTCCACACACACACACGTGCTGGGCTCAACCTCCTGCTCTTGGCGTCTAGGGGCAGGCCTGGAGGGTGGAAGCACCTGCCAGCTCAGCCCTAGGGGCCACCTTCAGACTTAGCGGGGTGCTGTCCATGAAGAGCCTCTCCTCCCATCCGTGGCTGTGCCCCTCCGCTCCACAAACCAGGACAGTCGCCCTCCCTTCCCTCAGTCTTGGGGTCCTCGTCCTGGAGCCGTATCGGATGTCAGTGGGACCCATTCTGGCCATTACCCCAGGTCCCCATCGCAGCAGCTCCTCATGGGAAAGGCTGGGTGGGATAGGAAAAGAGTGTGGCGGCCGTGGGTCGGCCCGAAGTGTGAAGACCCATGCACGCGGCAGGCACTGAGCTTGCCGACTGTGTGCCCGCGTGGGTGGCCCTCCCGGGCTGCCGGCACCTCCGTCTCCCTGGAGAAGCTGTGCTGCGGCTCCTACCGTGCCAGCTCGCGGTGCGCTGGTGGCGGTGCTCCTCTTTGCCTTGGTAACTGCAATGCTGGGAGGCTTGTGCTGCTCTAAAAGCAGAGCTGTGGGATATGTGGGCTGGGTGTGCGCCGTGGAGGAGCCTGGAGGGGGAGGCTCCCAACTACACCTACCCTCCCTGTCTGTCCCCAGGGCACAGACAAGTGACAGGGATGGGTTTGTTTTTCAGTGGGGCCAGGAGGGCAGGAGGCCAGGTGACCCAGGGAGAGCAACCCGAGGGGGAAGCTGCCATGTCTTCATGGCGCCCACTCTGCCCCCTGAGTTTGGAGTCCTAAATCCGAGCGTAGACTTGGAGCCTGGTGTATGGCCCTGAGCCTCTCTGTCCATCCACCCAAAGGAAACCCCAAGCTCAGGCCACCACTGGGCCGCAGGGCCACCAGGTGAGGCAGCAGCCCTCTCCCGAGATCTCCATGACGTACTGGAGTCAGGACGTCCCCACCTGTGTCGAACTCCCTTGGTGCAGGCTGTGTCCCCCCAGCCCCTGCTAGCTCTGCCTGCCCTGTACATCCTGACCTGAGGAAGTGGGGGGCCTCCAGACCCCAGAGTCTGGCATGAAGCACATGCCCCCGCACGCTGGCCCTTCCCATCTGTTCACAGTGGGAAAACCACCGGCCGCTCTCCTAGGTGAGAAATGGCGTGGGGGTGGGAGCCTGCTTCCTTCTCGCCCCCAAGAGGCGACAAAGGTGTCTCCGGGTGAGCTTCGTGGAGGGGCTGCTCTTGGTCTTGCCTTCATGCCCCCCACACGTGCCACCACCCTGAGATGGGCAAGAGACGTGGCCCAGGCAGGACGGTGTCTCCTATGGCCTCGTTCCAGGCAGGCTAGATGGCAGCTGGGCTGGTCCAAAAATAAAGCCTCACTCAGATCCCTTTGCGTCTGACCTTCAGGGTGACTTCCATTTGCATTTTTAATTGGCCAGGACTTAATTCGATTCCATCTTATCCTTTGTTACCAAAGTGCTTGCCCCTCCTTAGCCCTGCGCTGGGCCACTCTGGGGGTCCAGTGGGTGCGGAGTTGTGGGTCCGGATGTATAGCAGCCCTGGACGCTGCTTTCAGGTGTCTCCTCCTGCCAGAGTTGGGCCACCACGGTCGTCCAGGACAGATTGGGGTTGGCAAAATCTCGTTTGCTAAGGAACGTTTGGTTCAAAGTCAAAATCTTTGAAAGGTCAGTATGTAAAACAAGAAGAAAAGTGGTTCTGAAGGAAAGGGAGAGGGCCTGAGCCCCCACCTGCTGCTGCCTCCCAAACCCCGGTTGTCTTCGGGGGCCCCAGGACGCACCTGAGGATAAAGTGTGTGGAGCAGGGTTGAGGCTGGACGTAGGGAGAGGCAGGGAGAGTGTCTGCCTCCCTTGTTTCTCCGCAACTGTGGGTTTAAGATTTGGAGCCGCCCCTGCAGCTCCCCGGCAGGACTTAGCCTGAAGCACCAGACCCACTTGCCCCTCCCTTGGGAAGCCAAGGACTCAAGGGGGCTGGAGCTGGAGAGGCAGACAAGCAGAGTGGGCTGCAGGTGCGCTGCGCGGGGTGCTGGGAGGGGGCTGCACGGGGTGGGGCTGGTGGCCCGGCCTCAGCTTGACTGCGCCAGACAGGCAGCGTGGAGGGGTGCCTCGAGCCCAGGTCGCAGTCTCTGAGGGAGCAGGAGGCCAACGACTGTGCCCCCACTGTGAGGAGGGGAGGGGCCATCAGCTGGGTCCTGGGGAACCAGGCGTGGAGGAGGCCTGGGACTGTGCTCTGCTCTTGGTGGCCTGTGGAGTGGCCCAGCATGCGGCACCTGCTCAAGGCTGTGTCTGAACTGGGGTCAAATCTGTCTCTAGGCTTGTTGAGGCGGAGGCTGCTGACTCAGGCCCTGACCCCTCATCTCTCTGGGAGGGCTTGGGCCAGGCTCAGGGGCCTGGTGACCTGGAGGCCATGTCTGAAGCCACTCTGCCACCCCCTTGGATAGAAATGATTCCAAGAATACAGGGAGGTTAATCTCAAGGCCCCACCCCTGGGACCCATCCCCGCCCTGTGTGCAGGAGGGCGGGTGTGACAATTGCCAGGAAATGGACGGCTTGAAACAACGGACTCTTATTCTCTCGCAGCTCGGGAGGCCAGGAGCCTGAAATCAAGGTGTGGGTGGGGCTGGTTCCCCTGGAGGCTCTGAGGGAACCTCTGTCCCCAGCCTGTCTCCAGCTCCGGCGGTGGCTGGAAACCCTGGCCTCCCTTGGCCTGTGGATACCTCACCCCAATCTCTGCCTGCACAGTCACCAGCTTCTTCCCTCTTCCCTTCTAAGGACACTAGGCCTTGGGTTTAGGGCCCACCCGATCCAGTATGGCCTCATCTTAACTAATTACCTCTGCAAAGACCTTATTCCCAAATAAGCTCACATTCTGAGGCTCTGGGTGGATGTACATTTTGCGGACACTGTTCAACCCAGTGCAGGTGAGCAGATGGAGGCCGGGGGTGCTGGGGTGCTCCGGGCTCTGGCAGCACGGTGTATATAGGGAGGAGACGCCTCCCTCAAGCCTGAGCGCCCCCATGGCCCTGCTGGCTGCCCCGGGCTGCTCCGAGGTCGAGTTAAACCCCAGAAACACATGGCCATTTGGGGACCTGGGCCTCACCCTAGGCCTTCCTGGGAGGAGACAGAGAATAGGAGGCTGTGGGTCTGGGTTTTGGGGCCCTGTCCTCTTCCTGTCCCTGCATCTTGCCTCTTCTTCACATTCCTCTTCTCTAAACCATCTAATGGGGGAAGCTTCGCCCTCAAAAGCCGACAGGGAGACCTCTTTGGTGAGGGACCCTGGGGTGGAGACCCCCAGGCCAGCCTCTGTGGGCTGGTTGAGGAGGGAGGCTGTTAACCTGGGAGCTTGGCCCACACTGGGGGGCTCTGTCCCTCTCCAGGGCCACCTCCCGCAAAGCCAGGAGAGCAGAGTGGGCACTGAGGTCAGAGGAGGAAGCCAGGTCAGGGCCGGTGGAAGAGGCTGAGGACCTCCCAGGATTCCCTGTGTCCAGCCGGACCCTCGGGGACTGGCCAGGCCCCTGTCTGCAAGGGCTCCCACAGTGGCCCCCCACACCCTGGCCCAGGTGCCCAGAACAGTGCTGCATCCCCAGGAGGGGACCCGGGCTCAGTGGAATTAAATTAAATCCTGGCCTGTCTGACCAGTGGCCTTGCATCCGCAGAGCGATGAATGACATTGGCGACTACGTGGGCTCCAACCTGGAGATCTCCTGGCTCCCCAACCTGGATGGGCTGATAGCCGGCTATGCCCGCAACTTTCGGCCTGGCATTGGAGGTGAGGGGCGGCCCAGGCCCGGCAGGCAGGAGCCACTGGGGCCCGGGCTAGGCCGTGGCTGTGTGGCCCACTGGGCTACGGGCTGCGCTCTGGGCAGGGAAGCCTGGCTCTCCCCCGGGGGCTCCATCAGAGCCAGGCTCCCACAGAGACAGCCAGGGAGGTGCAACTTCTCGGGCCATGATGGCTGACTGCCTGTGACTGGGACCCTGGCAGGGTCCCACCCTGGCTCCCGTGCTGGGCTGGCCTCAGCCCTTCTTAGTTCTTTTCCTTCCTCGCAGGGCCTCCCGTGAATGTGGCCCTCGCTCTGGAGGTGGCCAGCATCGACCACATCTCAGAGGCCAACATGGTAGGTGCCACAAGCCTCTGCCTCAGGCATGGTGGGTGCCCACAGCCTCTGCCCTGGGCTGCATGCCCCTGGGGGTGGAGCGAGGCTGACCCCGGCCCCTGTGCCGCCTCCACAGGAGTACACCATGACGGTGTTCCTGCACCAGAGCTGGCGGGACAGCAGGCTCTCCTACAACCACACCAATGAGACCCTGGGCCTGGACAGCCGCTTCGTGGACAAGCTCTGGCTGCCCGACACCTTCATCGTGAACGCCAAGTCGGCCTGGTTCCACGACGTGACAGTGGAGAACAAACTCATCCGGCTGCAGCCCGACGGCGTGATCCTGTACAGCATCCGGTGAGCGGGCCGCCCACCGGGGCCCTGGGGGACAGCCTGCCCGGGCCCATGTCGGCGCCTGGACGCTCCGAGGCTTGGAAAAGCTCGAGCGGTTCCTGCTGCCGGGAGCTGGGGGGGCAGAAGCTGCGCAGTTATTTATATCCCCGCAGCTGCTGGGGAAACATCCACGCTCCAAGGTCGCTGACAGGAAGCCGGCAGATGTGGCTTTTTGGCCAACACAGTGCCTTTTGGTTTTTAAAATGGGGTGGAATAAAATTAACCTTTGTAAAGTGAACAATGCAGTGGCATTTGGCAGATTCGCCCTTTTGTGCAACCCCACCTCTGTCTGGTCCAAAACATTTCAGGACCCCGAAAGGAGACCCAGCCACGGAGTAGGTGCTCTCCACTCCGCCCCCCCTGGAGCCCCAGCAGCCACCCGTTTGCTTTCTGTCTCTGTGGATCTGATCAGAGACAGAAACATTTCACCGACAGGGAATCACACGCTGTGTGTGGGACCGTTTATGACTCCGGCTTCGTACTCAGCACCGTGTCCTCAGGGTTCACCCCTGCTGAAGCTGGAGTCAGGGGCGCCTTCTTCTTCATAGCCGGGCAGTAGCCCATGGCAGGGACGTGCTGCACCTGCCTTCCATCCATCTGCCGAGGGGCGCCTGGGTGGCTTCCTGCGTTGGTGAATGTGAAAACACTGCTATGAACGTGTGTGCGCACATTCGTTTGAAAGCCTGTTTTCAGACACATGCCTCTCAAAAATGGAATTAGCTCGCAACACTTAAAAAAATCAAGAGGCGGCCGGGTGCGGTGGCTCAAGCCTGTAATCCCAGCACTTTGGGAGGCCGAGACGGGCGGATCATCCTGGCTAACACGGTGAAACCCCGTCTCTACTAAAAAAATACAAAAAACTAGCCGGGCGAGGTGGCGGGCGCCTGTAGTCCCAGCTACTCGGGAGGCTGAGGCAGGAGAATGGCGTAAACCCGGGAGGCGGAGCTTGCAGTGAGCTGAGATCCGGCCACTGCACTCCAGCCTGGGCGACAGAGCAAGACTCTGTCTCAAAAAAAAAAAAAAAAAAAAAATCAAGAGGCATGTAGCCGCCCACAGTGGCTCACACCTGTGATCCCAGCACTTTGGGAGACCGAGGTGGGTGGATCACGAGGTCAAGAGATCGAGACCATCCTGGCCAACATGGTGAAAACCCGTCTCTACTAAAAATACAAAATATTAGCTGGGTGTGGTGGTGGGTGCCTGTAATCCCAGCTACTCGGGAGGCTGAGGCAGGAGAGTCACTTGAACCCGGGAGGCGGAGGTTGCAGTGAGTCGAGATTGCACAACTGCACTCCAGCCTGGTGACATCACTCTGTCTCAAAAAAAAAAAAAAATTCAGGAGGCAACCGGGTGCAGTGGGTCACGCTTGTAATCCCAACACTTTTTGGAGGCTGAGGTGAGAGGATCACCTCAGCCTGGGAGTTCGAGACCAGCCTGGGCAACACAGGGAGATTCTGCCTCTACAAAAATAATAAAAAATATTAGCTGGGCTTGGTGGTGTGCACCTGTGGTCTCAGCTACTTGGGAGGCTGAGGTGGGAAGATCACATGAGCCCAGGGGGTTGAGGCTGTAGTGAATCAAGATTGTACCACTGCACCCCAGCTTGGGTGACAGAGTGAGACCCTGTCTCATAAACAAACAAAAAAATCAGGATATTTTACATAAGAATTCAAATATCTGACCTCTCCTAGAAAATCAAGCGCATGGCGACTCTGGGCCTATTCCTGTGTGTTCCCCAGCCATCGCTCAGGCCAGGGCCTGGGTGTTCAGGCTGTCCCCTGCCCCGTAGGCCCCCAGCCCAGTTAAATAGTCAAGCGTTTTGAAGAGAATGAATGAAATTCAGTTCTTGATAGTCCTAAATGAAGACTTGCAAGCGTCTCTGAAGTTGAGCAGTTTTCAGGTTTACCTGGATTCTGGGCAACTAACAAACACAGCCTGAGAAGTAGCTCGGGCTCCAGGCAGCCCCTGGTACTCAGGGGGCATCTCTACAGGGGAACTGCCAGGCTTCTGGGAGGGCTGGCCTCACCCCCAAGGCCTCACCGCCATGCTTGTCTTGGCAGAATCACCTCCACTGTGGCCTGCGACATGGACCTGGCCAAATATCCCATGGATGAGCAGGAGTGCATGCTGGAGCTGGAGAGCTGTGAGTGGGCGCGCAAGGCGGGCAGGGGCTTCTCTCCAGGGCCGTGCTGGCTTCTCCAGCAGTGGATGGGGGCTCAGACTGTCAGCCCAGGGCCTGGACAAGGCTGGTCCGGCACAGGGTGCAGGAAAGCACCAAACCAGCTTCTGCATGAGCAAGAAGCCTGGGCAGGAGGAGAAGGGGCCGGAAGGCCTGGAGCAGTCTGGCCTGTGGGTCCGTCCATGCCTGAGGAGCCGGGCCGTGGAGCCCAGACATGACACGGATTGGTATCGTTAAGCCAGTGCTGCAGCCTCTGTGTGTCACCTGACGATGGTGACCCCATCTGTGTCCCTTCCACCTGCCCAGAGGAGCCCGACATGGTCCCAGAGCTGAAGGCCTCCTCGCTCCTGGCTGGGGTCCTGCTCGGTCCCCATCATGATGGTGTCAGCTCCCTGCAGGCTTCCTGTGTGGACGGAGTGCTCCTGCCAGGGCTCCCGGGGCAGGACCAGGCTCTGCCGCCCACCTGTGTGCTTTTCCTGCAGACGGTTACTCATCGGAGGACATTGTCTACTACTGGTCGGAGAGCCAGGAGCACATCCACGGTCTGGACAAGCTGCAGCTGGCGCAGTTCACCATCACCAGCTACCGCTTCACCACGGAGCTGATGAACTTCAAGTCCGGTAACGTGTGCCTGCCGCCCCTTCCGCGTGTGCCCGCCGCCCCTTCCATGTGTGCCCGCCGCCCCTTCCGTGTGTGCCCACCGCCCCTTCCGCGTGTGCCCGCCGCCCCTTCCGCGTGTGCCCTCCTGTGGTTTTCATGCTTTTTCGCCAAGCCACCCGCAGGCCCTCAGGGCCCCTGGGGATGCAGCTGGGACGCTCCTGCCTTAGGAACTTGCTCATTGGCACCAGCTACACCCACACCAGGGCCGCCAGGCCTGCCATCGTATGGACGTGGGTCAGCCCTTCCCATCTCACTCCTCGGTCCTCTCTCTTCCCAGCACTCCAGGTTTACGGGAAACGTGAGGGTGTGGGGAGCTCTCTTAGCCCCAGGTCTGCAGGGCTCAGGGGCCAAGCTTTCCTTGTCTACCTTGTCTCCCAGCTCCACTTTCCCACCCCTACGCCCCCCGTCCCCAGTCATCCAGAGCGGGTGAGCCCAGTGCCAGCTCCTTCCAGAGCCTGGCTGTGCCCGCATGCCCGCAGGAGTGTTAGGAGAGAAAGGAGTGAGCCCTCCCCATTGGCTGCGAGGGTCCCTCAGGGTCAGTCCAGCAAACGTGAGGCCAGCAGCAGCCTCAGCCTCTCTCCTTCTCCTCTGGGTTACACTGCTCAGGACCAGCCTGTCCTGTGGCCAGACCTAGGGCCGGAGACCCCCAGACATTTCAGGCCATGTGGTTGGTGGGGAGGGCAGGGGTCTAAGTCTCTCTTCTGAGCCCTGCTGTGGGCCCCATAGCTGCCAAGCCCTGCCGCCCCTGAGTCCCACGGTTGGGCTGGGCTGGGCAGGGACGGGGGCGCTGACGGTGGCTGTCCCGGCAGCCGGCCAGTTCCCGCGGCTCAGCCTGCACTTTCACCTGCGGAGGAACCGCGGCGTGTACATCATCCAGTCCTACATGCCCTCTGTCCTGCTGGTCGCCATGTCCTGGGTCTCCTTCTGGATTAGCCAGGCGGCGGTGCCCGCCAGGGTGTCTCTAGGTACGGGGCCGATGCTCCGAGGGGCCCAGCTTCTCATCCCTCAGCTGGGGGCCCAGCACTGGCCTCCGGACCATGCCAGCTGTCCTGGGGCAATGGCCCACTGGGCCAGGCCGGGTCAGGGGAGCAGGACCTGCTCCCTGGGGTGGGCATGGGGGTGGGGGGCAGCGGACCCTTATCCGTGGGTCACAGGCACCAAGGCTGGGGGTGGGATGGCGTGAGGGCAGGGCTACAATGATGGTACCACCTGTGCCCGGCAGGCATCACCACGGTGCTGACGATGACCACGCTCATGGTCAGTGCCCGCTCCTCCCTGCCACGGGCATCGGCCATCAAGGCACTGGATGTCTACTTCTGGATCTGCTACGTCTTCGTGTTTGCCGCCCTGGTAGAGTACGCCTTCGCGCACTTCAATGCCGACTACAGGAAGAAGCAGAAGGCCAAGGCCAAGGTCAAGGTCTCCAGGCCGAGGGCAGAGGTGAGGGCCTGGGACTGACCCAGGGACAGCACTGCTGGGGGCCCCAACGAAGACCCCTCAGCTGCTCCAGCCCACTGTGGGTCCCAGCTGTGCTCCCTGAGCGTGGGGGGTTGGAGCTGCTGGCCCAGGCGGGGCCCTGCATGGGAGCACCTGTGGTCCAGGGCCCTGGGAGTTGCACCCCAGCGCTCAGCCCTGTCTCCCCCACTGGCCCCCGTGCAGATGGACGTGAGGAACGCCATCGTCCTCTTCTCCCTCTCTGCTGCCGGCGTCACGCAGGAACTGGCCATCTCCCGCCGGCAGCGCCGCATCCCGGGGAACCTGATGGGCTCCTACAGGTCGGTGGGGGTGGAGACGGGGGAGATGAAGAAGGAGGGGGCAGCCCGCTCAGGAGGCCAGGGGGGCATCCGCGCCCGGCTCAGGCCCATCGACGCAGACACCATTGACATTTACGCCCGCGCTGTGTTCCCTGCGGCATTCGCGGCCGTCAATGTCATCTACTGGGCGGCGTACGCCATGTGAGCGCAGGACTCAGGCCACCCTCGCTTGTCCTGGCGCCCGGCAGTGGCTGCCCAGAAACTTCCTGGGAGAAAGAGCCCTTGGTCCACCTTCCCTCTCTGCGTGTTTCAAAGTGGGATGACAGTCGGCCACGGAAAACAAGAGGAAGCCTCGGCCTCCCTGAGCTCTGACCTCACCCGAAAGGCCAGCCTGGGGCTCTCCAGTAGGCAGCGCGAGACCCGCACAGATGAAGGAGCAGAGGGTCTGACCGAGAGACTGAGCCAGGCTGGGGTCTGGGCCCTTGAGGGAGCCGCGGATTTTTAGGCTCAGAAAGTGATCCTGGTTTCTAGGTCTCTGCTGTGCGGGATGGGGATCGGAGCGTGGGAGGAGGTGGGAGCGGACGTCCATCCGGTGAGCAGTGAAGGCGTTGGTGAGGTCTCTCTGGCCCCAGCATGAAATAAAGCCTTGGCCTGGGGGCCGCTTCGTTCTCTCTCGCGGTGCCGCGCTTCACTCCTGGGGTGCCTAGAGCCCACCCTAGCTGCCCAGAACACCCTTCTCCAGCTGCAGGCTTCCCGGGCGGTGTCTGGGTGGAGCTGATTGTGGAAGCCCAGAGAACACTCAGGGTTGAACACACGCCTTGCCCAGCGGAAACAGTGGGTCGAGGTCCCGGGAAGGAGGCTGTCCTTGTCAGCAGGGCAGGCTTCGAGGGAAGGGCTTCAGGAAGTGAGGAACCAGTTTTTGTGATGCTGGCTTCAGGCACTGGGTCTCTTCACCTATGTCCCTGAGCTGTGATGAGGCCATTTTCTCCAGGGGCGTGAGGCAGGAGCCTGCACCACAGTGTCGGGGAGTGAGCTCAGGGTCGCCGGTCCCAAAGCCTGGAGCTTTTGAGGTGCCTTTCTGAGGTCCTGGGGCTCAACACCAGACTTGGGGACAGAGACTCAGGGACACAGGGGCTCAGGGGCTGGATCCCAGATGAGCCATGTCTGGGGTACTGAGAGAGGGCCGAGGTGCAGAGGCCTAGAGGGAGCTAGAGGAGCTGCCACCCCATTAGTCCCTGAGGCCTTTGGTCCAGGGGGTGTCCAGGGCTAGGTGCCACCATGGTCCCTTCTTGGATGTGAGGACAGACATTTGGAGGCCACCGAGGCCCCACAAACACCACAGCCCTTTCCCACCTGCTGCCACAGCCATGGACATGGGGTGAGCACACTGCAGCCCAAGGAGCTGACAGGCAGCTCTTAATGGGGGGTCCAGGTTTTCCAGGGCACCGGGTCATTACTTGTGGAAGAATCTGAAGGGAGCAGTTGGAACAACTGCTGGGGCTCTGCCATCTGCTGTGGGACCCAGGCGTCCGGGGCTCTGCCATCTGCTGTGGGACCCAGGCGTCCAGAGCCATCACATGGCAGCTCGCGAGGTGGCAAAGTTGGCCAGGTCAGTGCCCTGTGGAATCGGGGTGGCAGCTAGGCCTGGGTGGCCCCCATCTCCATACCACTGGGGACCCGGGGTGACTGTGTGAGTCACCTGTCCTTAGCACGACCTGCGGCAGCTCTGGCAGGGTGAGCAAGCAGCAAGATCAAGTCACCAGTGGGGCCCAGGCATTGCACCCGGGGACCGACGCAGGCTGAGTTGCTTCCCTCAGGGCCAGGCTGTGCCCCAGAGCAGATGAGGGCATTGCCCACCACTGCCCAGAGCATGCCCCATGCACCACCTCTGTCCCCTGCTGGAAGGTCCCCCCACACCACTTCCTAATGACCGCTCCTCATTTCCAGGCTGCCCTTTAGCATCCCTGCTCTGCAGGACAAGGCTGTGAGGCTTGGCAGGGCCGTTCTGCGGGTGGGACAGGCTGGGGATGGGGGGGGGTGGGATGGACCAGGCTCTGGTGTGGCCACAAGCGGCGCACAGAACAGAAGTGAGCTTTGGGGCAAGCAGAGAGCAGGTGGCCGGGCAGCAGCAGAACTGGATCTGGGTCAACTGGGGCTCCGGGCCACCTCCTGACACCAGGGTGAGGCGGCTGAGCCTGCCAGCTCCTTGTCCAAGGATGGAGACACGCCTGCAGGGCTGGCTCTCACCGTCCCGCCTCCTGCCCTCTGCTTCCTGGGCCTCCCTGCAGGGTTACCGCTCCCTCCTCCCTGGAGCCCACGTTGCTCTGGGGATAGGAGCCCAGGCCGCAGATGGCACGCACTATAGCTATGGGATGGGCCCCAGGCTGCCCACCACCACTGCCCACCCCAGGCTCCCAGGCTCCCGCCCCAAGGACAGGCCTTCCACCCAGGGCAGCCAGAGAGGGTCGGCTCCAACTCCTGGGCCTTTGGGGGAAGGGTGGGTTGGTTCAAGATTCTGGGAACTATTTGGGGGCATCCCCTGGACCTGGAGGCTGTTGAGCCACCCCCCACACCCCTTTCTGCTGCAAGGACCCTGGCCCCCATCTCTGCCTTGTCCTCCTTGCGGCCGCAGGCTGCCCTCTTTCCCGGGCTTGTACCCACCAGGAGCTATTTAAAGCCAGCCTTTGCAACTGCCTCGGGCACCCACGCAGCCAGGCCCGCCTGGGCAGCAGCCGTGCCTGATTCTGCAACCAGCAATCACTCCCCCCAGCAGGCTGCTGTTTCTGCCCACATATTTACAGGGCCAGGAAGGACGGGAGGGCGCGTGCTTTCAAACGCGACTTCTATTCCGGTAGTGAGGGCAGGAGCAGACGAGGGCGGGGGCGGGTCAGGGTTTGCAGCGGAGAGGAACCTGTTTGGGGAGGGGATGCCAGTGTTGCCTGAGACAGGGGGCACCTGGGGCAGAGGCTGGTGGGCAGAGAGGCTGCCAGGGCTCCATACACCCTCATCTCAGCAGGGACAAGTCTTTGGGGGCTGGTGGCTTCCTGGTCTCTGTGGAAGCTGGACTGTGTACCATGAGCAGTGACCCCTGAGTACCCCTGAGAGCTGGGCCTGCTCTTCCCCGAGGCTGGAGACCTCAGGTGGAGTGAAAGGGGACAGGACATTGGGGACAGCGTCCAGCTTCTCTGTCCCATGGCAGGCGTGGGGCAGGCATCGGCTGTTATCCTGCCTCTCCCCTCCAGTGAGGCAGGCGGGTGCACAGGCCAAGTGGAGCTTACACCTAGGGGCGTCCTCCTGTGGGTTCCCCTACAAACAGAGACTGAGACAAGGACTTGGGTGCTGGAAGTTTATTTGGGGCTGGGGGTATCCGCTGCCTAAACAAAGTACCACAAACCAGGTACCTTAAAATGACAGAAATCTGTTTTTTCCTGGAGACAAACGTCCAAAATCAAGATGCTGCAGGCCCGGTTCCCTCTGGAAGCTCCAGGGAGGACCCTCCCCCGGCCTCCCTCCTGCTTCTGGAGTTGCCGGGAACCTCTGGCCCTCCTGGGCTGGCAGGTGCGCTGCCCCAGCCTCTGCCTCCGTCTCTGAGTCATTTTGCTGTCTCTGTCTCTCCTCTTCTTCTCAGGGACCTGCCGTCGGATTTAGGGTCACCCTACTTTAGTATGGCCTTGTCTTAACTGCATCTGCAAAGACTCTAATTTGAAACAAGGTCAACATTCTGGGGTCCTGAGTGACTTTGGGAGCCATTCGGCTCTGTAGAGAGGGTGATCCACAGAGGCAGGAGCAAGAGCAGGGAGTGGGGAGGGATGAGGAAGGAGGAAAAACAGGAATGCACTTTACAACCTGGGACAGCCAGGTCCCAGCCCCACTGGCGACCCAGAGCAAAGGGGAATGTGCCTCCATATTGTCCTTTTAAGTTTTTTTTTAAATTTAAAACAAAACGTTTAGTATAGACAGGGTCTCACTATGTTGCCCAGGCTGGTCTCAAACTCCTGGGGCTCAAGCGATCCTCCCACCTCAGCCTCTGAAAGCACTGGGGTTATAGACATGAGCCACCCTGTGCAGCCTGAATTGTCCTTTTGAAGAATGAGCGGCTGAGCATTTATCCACCAACCCCCACCCAGCTCACATTCCCCAGGTCTGCCCTGCATGCAAGCTGGACGAGCGCCCTGCAATGCTATGGAGGGCGCTAGAGGCGGCACTGACCGCGAGTGCGTTTTGTTTGTTTGTTTGTTTGTTTTTGAGATGGAGTCTTGCTCTGTCCCCCAGGCGGGAGTACAGTGGTGCAATCTCAGCTCACTGCAACCTCCGCCTCCTGGGTTCACGTGATTCTCCTGCCTCAGCCTCCCAAGTAGCTGGGACTACAGGCGCACGCCACCACACCCAGCTAATTTTTGTATTTTTAGTAGAGACGGGGTTTCACCACTTTGGCCAGGATGGTCTCGATCTCTTGACCTCATGATCTGCCCGTCTTGGTCTCCCAAAGTGCTGGGATTATAGGCATGAGCCACCGCACCTGGCCGTGTGTGAGTTTTGTTTGTTTGTTTGTTTTTTGAGACAGAGACTTGCTCTTTCACCCAGGTTGGAGTGCAATGGTGCGATCTCAGCTTACTGCAACCTCCGCCTCCCGGGTTCAAGTGATTCCCCTGCCTCAGCCTCCCAAGTAGCTGGGATTACAGGCACGTGCCACCACGCCCTGCTAATTTTTTGTATTTTAGTAGAGATGCGGTTTCACCATGTTGGCCAAGAAGGTCTCAATCTCCTGACCTCATGATCCGCCCGCCTCAGACTCCCAAAGTGTTGGAATTACAGGTGTGAGCCACTGCGCCCAGCCATGAGTGAGTTTTATCTGCCCCCACAGCTGCTGCTTAAACCAAATGCAGCCCGAAGGGCACAACCCAGGCCCCAGAGCAGCTGGGAGCCCGAGCACTGCTTGCATCTGTTCCGGCGGATGCCATGTTAAGCTTGTCTGCGACTGATTCTTCAGGGTGGTGGCAGCCAAAGCAACAGAGACAGCCGTGGAAGTCGCGGGGGGGCTGGTGATGAGCCAGTCTGCAGGCACCCCCACGGCAGGAGGCCCTCCTCCTCCTCCACCCCGGCCCGCGCTCCTGCTGGCAGAGGTTACATCTGACGCTGTGACCCAGACCCCATCTGAGGAGTGAGCCTTGGTCACCGGCTTGTCAGGTGGGTGTCACTCATCGGCCACTCTGTGCCCCAGCATAGAAGCCACAGAAGTGATTCCTCCGAGCTCCAGGCATTGTCCTCCCTGGCCCTACAAGTGCTCCCTCATGCTAACCCAGTGGGATAACCCCTGCCTGTGCCCACAGCCCACCAGCCGGGGGGCTACAGAGGCAGCCTGACTTCCAAGCTGCTGTCCTTGCCGGGGTTGAAGGTGGTTTCAGGGGCTCTGACTTTGCCTTCTCTGCCATGGTGGCCCTCACTCCACAGGTCAGGGAAACAGTGAAAGGATCCTGGCAGCTGCTCAGGGCCACCAACCTGCTGTGGACCTGCAGACCAGGGCGCCACCACGGAATGGGTCCATAAACCCACTAGATGGCCATGGGCTGGGACTGCATTGGTCACTTGGCATCCCCAGGACCCCATGCTGGCCAGGGGCTACTGTGACATGTTGGGTCTCCGGATGGCATCAGACCCAAGATCCCAAAGC